TTTAATGAAAAAATATCATCAAGATAACGGTAGGTATTGTTGAATGTGTCAACTAAATGTAACAATGACGTGTCTTTACTGATTTTGGCCATAAACTGTGATTCATAGCAATATAGGAATAAATCTGCTATTAAAGGGGCGCAATTAGTGCCCATAGGAATACCTACTACCTGTCGATACACTTTATCGCCGAAACGTACACATGTGTTGTCTAGGAGAAACTTTAAAGCTTCAATCTAGAAAGTGTATCTAGCATACTTTCCTTTTTCGTTACAGAAAAGGGCTTTAAACTAGTTACAGCAAATATATTTGCAATGAGATTTTTCAAAAGACCATTTAATTAAATATGAAAACTTTTTCTTGACAAGATTGTGTGGAAGTGTAGTGTAGAGAGTAGAAAAATCATAATTGTCAACAGAATTAAAAGGACCATCAAAAGCACGTATTTTATCTAAAACCTAAAGAATTTTTAACACTCCAAAAATGATTAATACCATTATTTGCATAAACTTTATAACAAAAGTTAATAACAAATTCTTTGATAGTAGTAAGGGAGGTAGTTAGAAGCACTGACACTTATTAGATGCGGAGATGAAACGAAATTTAAATGGTTGTTTGTGTAATTTAGGTAACCAGTACATAGTCGGGACTTTCAAATGTTCGGAAGAGACTTTTAGCTGGGTAGTGGCAGTGCTATGCTTGTTTACAATTTGACTTTCTGTGGAGCATACGGACCTGAATGTAGAAGAATTGATAATTTCGTTTTGGAGAACTTCCGTGTAGTATATGCGTCACACCACCACTACATTATTGGCTGCTTTGTCTGCCGGTACCAACACAAACCGCTTTGCAAGTACTTGGAGTTTATTTTTTATTCTAGAAATGGGTATATCATGAACCCTATAATTAATTTCAGAATTGGTTTCAAAAGAAGATATACGAATATCAACGGTGTACATAATTTTACTCAAATAACTGTCTAGAGATTTGTTATCAGATTTTTCACGTTTACACAAATTTTTACAGTTGGCAGAAGAGCGTCTTTAATGACCCGACGACACTGATTCTAATCTATAATAGATGAAGGACGATATTGAGGTCCTTTCTTAAGAAAAGTTTTGACATAACGATCTTCAACGATGTTGAGATCTCCTGTAATGACATGACCACCGGGAACATATCTAAAACTAGATGTTTCACAGTCTCAAGTGGAAGGGTTATTTTTTTCTATATTGACGTCTGATGTTACTGACGTATAATTAAAAATCAAACTTCTGCTGGTTTTTTTTGTACGAATACGAAATAATAGGTGGTTCTGCATTATCAAAATATGGAGGTATTTGGCTATGGATGGTAGAGTCATTGAATATACTAGATAAGTTAATAAAATCAATACCTCTATTTATATATTTTAATTTTAAAAAATGCCGTTTATGATTTCCAGGTTTATCGATACTAGGAAACAGCCTGTGATGACAAAAGGCTGTAATAATACGGGTGTATTCATACAACGGGCTGAAAAATGAAATTTTATCACACTCCAGAAAAATATCATATAGTTTACCTATTGGTTTATGACCAAGTTTGCATAGTAATTGATTACTACCATTATTTTTAATTGTAGATAACAGATCAGCAAGTGTATAATTTATACGATGTTCAATACTTAGATTACGGTTTTTACATCGCGATGACCGTGAGGGCATTCCGATGTATTGTTGCCACAGAGATTTCTACTTACGTAACCTTCGTTTTTGACTGGTAACCGATCTATAAATACGCGGACATTATCGAGTGCAAAATAACATTCCTTATCGCTTGTTATAAATTTATTTCTTCAATGAATACTCATAAAAAATTTTTTTTAGAACATAAATTAATAATATGAAAATGTTTTGTCGTTAGAAATATATATATATATATAAGTAAAAAATTATTAATATCTATGCACACGTACAGAAAAATTGTGTTAACGCATGCGGAAGAATATCTCAAGAACATTTTGCGGGAAAATATGAATGCCTACTCAAATCCAATCTATTAGAACAATCGAATTTTCACAGAAGAGTGTCTACCATGCACTTGCACTGCACTATTATTAGAATAGTAGAATATAATGATATACAAATGGATGAAAATTATATATACATGTAACTGTTATATACAAATATTAATATAATATATAACAACAAACCAAAGTATACTGATTTGTATCACTACAATATAATAGTTATTACGGTGATGTTGAATTCCCTGTCATTTATTCATCATCCACGCACGAACTTGTCTCAGAAAAAATACATCTCTGTACATTAACTTCACTTTCAGGTATAGAGATGTGATTTTTCTTTTCTGAGACAAGTGCTTGTGACCATCCACAAGAACTTGCGGTCTTCCGATGTTCAGTTCTTTAGTACTTTGATTACGTTTACCATGATACCTATTATTTCTTAGCCGTTTATCGACAATATTCATGACATCGATAGAAGATGTACATTTCACTTATTTATTGATATAAATCGGGATTGTTCATTTCACTATATCGACAAACGTTAAAGCACCAACGACAGTCCACTTATTATATAAGGAATGACTGTAATATTTTTCTGTCATTGAAGAAATAACCTCAATCACGTGGGATATTTTCAAGTGTGCACCACGGGAATTGAGGTTATTTCGAATAGACAGAAAAATATTACAGTCATTCCTTATGATTTAATTTTAGTATCGAAATAAAACTTGTAATAAAAAATTGTTGATGACGCCACTGTCACGTGGTAAAATTATGTCTATGAGATGATAGACAAAATAAATTTATCCAATCAGAAAATGCGTTACTTCTGAAATTAAATATATATAAATAATTGGAAACAAAAACCAAGAATGCATCTACAGGTCAATATGCAGTCTTTAACAATTTAAAAATGGCTGTATAACATGTGATACGTTAAAAAGTCTCGAGTCTGTAAAATTACAAATAAATTTAACGATCGAGGATTCCTTAATGATAAAAAGCAATAAGATGCATCACGGATGGGGTGTCGGGGTTACACTGATAGTATATTAGCTGTATAAGGAAACTCAGTACAGCAGCAGGCTGTTTACCTCAGGTGGTATCATAATGCTTTTCACTTCCATGCAGTCTTTTATTATGCGACTTGTAAAGAATCCAACCGGATGCAATCTACAATCCATAAATTGTTTTGGTTAAAAGTTATTGTACTGTTTGATGAAATAACCCTCTTCCAGTTATTTCAAATGATGTTATTTCATGAAAAGTAAACGTTATTAAGGTTAGTGGTACCTTTAAGGTATGCAGTTATGTAAATAGACAAAAACCATCGAAATTTGTAAGTAAACAACAATTTGTATTTCTTTGGGAGCTAATCTGCTACGAAAACAACAAACAAACACACATTGAAGGAGAATTTTAAAGGTTATTATTATACCTTACATATATGATAAACAATTCTAATTCAGTTGATTTTAATTTAATGCAAATAAGCACGAATAACCATAAAAGTTATCACCCAGCGATGAATTGTTCTATTAACCTTTCAAGCTTTTTGATTTGTACACGAGTTATTTCCCATCAAAATGACCTCACAGAAGCATGTATACGAACTTCCAACGGCAAGGTTTGAAACCCACCAAGTGATGTGGAAACAATGGTTGGAAAGTAATCTAGTGCTGATGATAGCTCTCACAAACGGCTCTTTTCTGGGTCGTTAATATTTCGCAGAAAGAGTCTACCTTTGTTGTACATACGAGAAATTCTGACGTAGAATCTAAGACACAAAATAATTTTTAAATGTAAGTTACTATAGCAAGGCAACTGCTTCTTCAATAGCTCAAAAGGACCTTTACTGTTTGTTCCGTATAATAAAATAAATGTGGTTACTTAGAAGCGATAAATATCCAAAATAGTCAACCCTTAAACTTTATTTCATTTTGGCTGCGATCAGGGAAATAATCTTTCAGGGTGGACAGTTTGGATATTCATCTTTTCTACTATGACCATGATTGTATAATTTCCACTTCGGTTTGTTCTATTGTACAAAGACTGTAACGAAAACGAACTTCATGGAGTTATAAAAGATATTTTTAGTACGCCATACGGCAGTCTATGGTCATCTATGACTGATATTACTAGGTCTTGTTTCGAATGATGTTAACACACTGCAATGTTGTTTATGTTGAGCACCGCATTTTTTCACATAAAATATCTTATCTGTAATAATAGGTAATTTGTTATATTTCCATATATTTTGATGCTTCTCAACATTTTTTCTCCCTTTCTTCCGATGAATACCAACCAATTATATGTTATTACCTGTTTTTTGATGTGTTGGTATTTCTCAGTCTTTAGTTTTCTGCGTAATGTTTTGTATTCTGATTTTTTGTCGTTTTGTCGTTTATCTTTTTGGCCATGCTGTTGTCTATTTTACTCCGACTGATCATTGTTTTCCATTTTAGCGCTATTGTGGTAACATTAAGCTTATTGGTCATATTTTAAAACGGAGTTTTCTGGTGCACATCAATTTAAAGTTCAAACAAGATGGAATCAAGTTGATTGTCTTGGTTTTTTTTAAAATTATGTATATTAAAACAGGATTGTATCAGAGTTGATGAATTTATCCAACAACTAGGTAAATAAGCATATCGGTGTTAGCTTTGTAGTATACAAATAGAAAATTGAATACTCAGTGCAAACATTGAGTTTAAAAATATAACGTAAAAAGGGTTTACCCAACAATATTTTGGATTTTGAATTGTAACACACAAGGGAAGGGTATATTGGATACTAAAAGGTAACTGAACATGACCCCTTAAAATTTTTATCTGATCTTAAATGAAGCGACATACAAATCTAACAGAATAAAGTGAAAGAACTTATTTTAATCAGATTGGCAAAAAACAGACAAAAATACTGCAATTACAAGTAGTGTTTTCCTTACAAATAGCATTATATTACAAATAGAGTTGCCATACTTGCGCCAATTGATACCACCTTACTATTATAAAGAAGTGTCTGTCATGTTTTACTGTGAGTTTCCCTAGTATATATTAGAAAACGGTCTGAAATATAATTACGACGTTAATAAAGAATTGATATTATATGAGGCATACCAAATTTCGTTTTAGTTTAATCAATTAATCTTATAACTTATAATTTGAGTTTCAACCTTAAAGTTTCACAAAGAACAGCACTGAGGAAATCTAATTTATCCAAGTCAGTCTTCTCCAAACTTGATCGTCCATCTAATATCCTTTCAGATTCAGAAAGAATTGTATCCTGTGCATCAGGATGACATGCAAGTTCATGGAGACACCATTGTAATGCTGTATTTGTCTGAAACAGAAAACAAGAAAAATAGAGGCCTCATGCCACACAAATTTATAAGACTCTTAATGTCCGGAGTTAAGAAAGGAAGAACTATGGTTGGATGGTTCAATTTGTTCAACTTACTGTATCAATGCTGGCAACAAGTAAATCCGTCAAGTTTATGTAGATTTCTTTATCGCTGAGTTTTCTGTTATGCAACAGATGTGATAGAATACTATAATCAGATGTGTCGTTTGAATGCCTTTCAATCATATCCATAGCTGTAATGAAAAGTTTTCTTTTGCCTTAATCATTACTTATCACAGGATAGCTAGTGTAATAAAAAAAAACAACCAATTAAAGCAAGTTTTCTAGAACTTAAAATACACTATTTACCCCAAAATAAACATGCCCGCAAATGAACGCAGAATAAACCGGTAAAGCAACTACTAATCACTTTCCCGCAACATACCTCCCATAGCAGACAACATCACTACTCTCACCTAAGGGATGTAACTCGTATCAAATAAAATTTAGGGTAAAATGTCGATTCAGTAAACCATCAAAATAAAAAAAAAAAACAATATTAACCAGATATTATCCACCATTTTCTACAAATATTCGTTGTCACAAAAATGAGTATTACCCGGTATAATTTTCTTCTGTCACATAAAAAGTAAAATAACAAAAATACCGAACTCCAAGGAGAATTCAAAACGGAAAGTCACTTATCAAATGGTAAAATTAAAAGCTCAAACACATCAAACGAATGGAAAACAACCGTCATATTCCTGACTTGGTACAGGCATTTTCTTGTACAGTTTTGTGATACCATTTTTTGTGGAGCGCATAACATTTGCACGTATTTAGGATTGTTTATTTTAAGATTGCGCAAACTATTTGATTACATTTAAGTTTAATCATTTTACAGGAAATACAAGTCAAACAAATCTGAAACCGATGTTATCAAGATACTTGATTTCTTGGTTTACAGCATGTTTTGATACGTTTGAAGGACGTTTTTCTCAACAAACAATCAGGATGTTATGGAAACCAACTGCAAAGTTCTTTATTTATTCATACGAGGCGGTATTCATACAAGTACTTCTCGTGAAGAATGAAAAGAAGCTAGCATTATTTTAAACTTCACGACCAGCTATATAAATGATGTCGTCTCGCTAAATAGTTCAAAGTTTTGAGACTATTTTGAGCGTAATATCCCATCGAACTTGACTCAAAGGATACTACAGAAATAGTTAAGTATATATCATATCTTGACTTTATATATTTAGAAATTGACAAAGAGAATCGACTGAAAAAAAACCAATTTACGACTAAAGAGATATTTCTATGGAGCAACATTCCAGCAGCGCATAGATATTGAGTATACATCACCCAGATAATATGATCATCCAGAGCTTGCATTTCCTATCATGATTTCCTTGATAGAGAGTTGCTTTTTACAAGGAATCTATTTAACCAATAGTTCCAAGATATGTAGTTGATTTCATTCTTTCGAAAATTTTATGGACGCCATCACGAGTTGACCAATCTCTGTTTTACAGATGACGACGATTATGCTTCAGTTGTAGTAACTACATCCGCGTCCTCTTTTCCTTGAGTGTGACATCAGATTTATCACCAACTTTGTACTGACATGAGCAACACGACGGGTGGCATATGTGTGACAGGATCTGCTTACCCTCCGGAACACCTGAGATCACCTAGTTTTAAATGGGATTTGTGTTGCTCGTTCTTTAATTTTCTATGTTGTGATTTGTAGACTGTTGTTTTCTTATGTCGTTTTTGTTTTTGCTATGGCGATGTCAGTTTGTCTTCGACTTATGAGTTTGAATATGCCTTTGGTATCAGTCTCTCTTTCGTCATCCTAGTACTTTTTATAGCTTACTACATAGTATGAATTTTGTTTATTGTTGAAGGTTGTACGCTCAATTCATGTAAAAAGTAAAATAAACAAAATACCGAACTCCAAGGAAAATTCAAAACGGAAAGTCCCTTATCAAATGGCAAAATTAAAAGCTCAAACACATCAAACGAATAGAAAACAACTTTCATATTCCTGACTTGGTACAGGCATTTCCTTATGTAGAAAATGGTGGATTAAACCTGGTTTTATAGCTAGCTAAACCTCTCACTTGTATGACAGTCGCATAAAATTCCATTATATTGACAACACTAGTTTATCGATGCTTTAATCTAATAAATCGAGTAAGAAGTCAATTCAAGGTAACAAACAAACACATGGAATCGGATAAACTCGCCAAACGAATCTACACGCAGGCAAAATGTCACAATTGGGAATAGGACATAATCGATAAAATTACAGATTAGACGACCATTCTGGTATCTAAAGATCTAAGACTGCAAAAAATGTTGTAGTGAGTTGAGAAACAGACATCGTACCGGTCAAACATTATGTGATGGTCATCGTGAAACTTAAGTAGTGTTGATTTCATTCGTTCTTCCTGAGCAGTTTTTGTGAAACGAGCACACCATTTCAATTGAAGTCGATATAGTGTGAATAAGCACGGTGTAACGTATTAATTGAGATATGAAAGCGTCATACTATTAGACAGAAGAAATGTTACCGCTGATAAATTTGAAGTTGACGATTGAAAAGTTGAAATCATCACGTTTGTCATCTATTCTAATTTAGCTCCTCAACTGTTTCGGTACTTATACATCCCTCGGATTTCAAATGTTTGGCTTTGAGCGTTCCTGATGGAGGTAAATCCAGAAAAGCGCTTCGGACGCAGGAAATTATTAAACGTGTTGTTTTCAATTTTTTATAGTCGTCAATCTGTGCAATATCGAGGAAAAGATTGATATGTGAAACAGACCTTCTCGTGTCGATAGTATCGTTAATCTCAAGTTCACTGGGATAAATGAGATTGAAGCACTCACTGAAATATGGCTTGTTGAGTGACATGACATCCTCATTATATCCGCAAGTGAAATTAAAGAACTTTGTGAAATGTGTTTTTGCATTTTGTCTTTGAGAAGGTTCTGTATGAATTTATATGAGCCTATGGCCACGGTTATATATGTCCTTACTATGTATTGGATATCTAAACTACACTCTATCGTTTCATTTCGACTTCTAGTAAGTGTTTACAACTAATATTGCAGTGCTTTTAACAAGTTTCCTTACTGTAATCAAGTGATAACGCAAATTAAAATAATAGAATTAATTATTTTTGTAGTTAAAAAAAAATATTGGATGTTTAAGAAATAAAGGCAACAGTAGTATACCGCTGTTCAAAAGTCAAAAATCGATTAAGAGAAACCAAATCTGGATTACAAACTAAAACCGAGGGAAACACATCAACTATAAGAGGAAAACAACGGAAAAAGAGAAACACTGAACTGCAACAAAAACAAAAGCCAACATACATAGAAACGAACTATTTGATAACGACTGCTATAGTCCTGACTTGGTGCAGGACATTTTAAGAAAAAAAGGTGGGTTGCACCTGGTTTTATGACTAGCCAAACCTCCCGCTTATATTGCAATGTTAAAAAATAACTAACAGGAATACAGTACACACAAAGACAAGAACACTCAGCCAGAGAAATACATAAATAAATAATATAATAGTAAATTACTACATGTAAACCGCAGAATAACAACGGACATCTCCCATTAACGACAGCACAGGACACCACAAACTGTGCATCACATGAATAGACCAACGCCACAAAAAGTGACGTATTTTTGTGACCTATATATAATCTTGAAATTCATACAATTATATGGAACGAGATCCAAAAATTCCGATTATTTTCACAATACTAGTCCAAATAATTATCATGATTATGACGGTCTTGAAAGGCTATTTTAAATTAATGCTGTGACGACGTCATAATTATTTGGACTAACACAATACTTTAAATGGAAATTAACTCGACTATACTGACAAATAAGACATATGTGAAATGTACCGAAAATACAGAATTCAAAACACAAACGATAAGCCATAACACAATATCCAACCAACTTGCTTGTAATGGTCCTTTCAATTCGGTTGACAGTAATGACTATTCGACTCTCTACACTACACTTCCGCACAATTTTATCCATCCAACAAAAGTTTTTGTATTTGATTAGATGATCCTTTTAAATGTATTTGCTGCAACTAATATACATCCTTCTTCTGTAATGAAAATGGAAAATATACAAGATATACTTACTGGAAGTGTGAGGAGAAGATTTAAGCCTTAACATGTTTTCCTTGACAACATTTATATAAATACAAGAAGACGTGGTATGAATGCCAATGAGACTAATTTCCACTAGAGACCTCATCACGTAGAAATTAGCAACAAGAGATCACCGTACGGTCTTCAATATTGAGAAAAGCCCTTACTGCATTGCAAAATAAAAAAAAGACCCTGACATGACAAATGTTAAACAATTCAAGCGAGAAAATTAACAGCCTGATTTATTCAAAAAAGAAACAATCAAAGAAATACAAGTATGATATTCAGCAACAAGTGACAATCACTGAAGTACAGGTCCCTGATATAGGACAGACACATAGACAATGCGGCGGGATTAAACATGTTTGAAGGCGGCTCACCCTGTTCCAACCTTGGCAGTTTCGGCATTAGTTTTATTTACAGATTGTTGGTATTCCTATGGACATCAAGTGTGCCATATTTATAGAAGATTTATTCCTGTATTGTTATCAATCACAGTTTATGGCCGAGGTTAGTAAAGATCCGTCTTAATTCAATCGAACTGATTACAGTGTTTATATATCCCAACTCGTTTGATCTATGTCCATGTCTGAAGTGTCGTTTTAGATTTCGATGAACGTTATCGATTTATCATTTATATCAAAGAAAAAGAAAATATCATGGGGAGATTTAAAACTCGTACGTCGATGATAAATTAACAAAACCGCCATAGCAAAGGGCGTAAAACGAACAATTCCAAACTTAATCAATTTAAACGAACAAAAGGAGCAATTCAATATAATTTCATAAATTTTTGTGACGTTGATCCATGCATGTGACGCGCAGTTTATATTTCGTTTGTATTGTCCTGGTGTGCTGTCGTAAATTCATGGGAGGTGTCCGTTGTTATTCTGCGGTTTGCATGTTGTAATGTACTTTTATATTATTTATTTGTGTAGTTCTCTGTGTTGAGTGTTCTTGCGTTTGTTTGTACCGTATTCTGTCACGTAGTGTTGTCATTTTAGCGGTGTTTTTAACATTGCCATATAAGCGGGAGGTTTGACTAGCCATAAAACCAAGTTCAACCCACCATTTATTTTCTTAAAATGTCCTGTACCAAGTCAGGAATATGGCAGTTGATATCTAAAGTCCGTTTCTATGTATGTCCGTTTGCTTTTGTTGTAGTTCAAAGTTTCCCTCGGTTTAGGTTGTTACCCGGATTTGTTTTTGCTTAATCGAATTATGACTATTGAACAGCAGTATACTACTGTTTCCTTTATTTATGATTTTATTTCAGCGACGGATTTCAGTCACTGAAATCGTTTAGTCTAGAAAAGAAACCACAGAAAATGAATAGACTGACGTCACAGTAGTGGTTTGAGAGTTTAAGCGCTAGTTCGTTATAAAGATACAATTCATTGACCTGGACGGCGAATGGTACTTTATAAACGTACTAGCGCTTATCTATTGTGTCTCGTACTATTGTTGTGACGAATTTTCCAGTTATGGTCTTAATTAGAACCTATTATGAATGGGCTTCCTTTTTAGACATATCATTTATGGATTAATCTTATTGATATAGGATCTTTCTTACAATTTTGAAAAATTTTAATAAATTGTGTTTTAGACATTAGATGACACAACAGTAGATGAAATGGTAGGAATTGTATAAGTTTCCTTATTGTGAGTATGAATGTAATTCATGTAACAATTAAGTAAGGAATTATCTTTTTTGTTTATTTCCAGTTCAAATCAATATATTCAAAATCTGAGTTACAACTAAATTTTATCACATAGTTCTTTACATCAAATACTACGTAATCAAATTAAATTTAATTTTTCAAATAAATCAAACGTTATTATATTCTTTTTATATTTCCTGCAGATACAGTAATCTGAGTCTAAGTGTATTAGCTAAAGATCAAAGTTATATTGAACTCTTAAAGGTTTTTTTTTTCTTCTTCTTCTTTCTTTTTTGCATTCAGCTTTGATATTGCTTACATATTTTTATAAATCCGAAGTTATAAATATTTACATAATGACATTAATCATCAATATTACTGTACTGGTAAACTTCAAACTTATGTGGATTTTGTGTGTTTGTTTCAATAATCAATTTAGATTCAATCATTAATCCTTTCAAGCTGATAAATGTGCTTCGCATTTATAGAAATTCTTTCTTTTGAACTGTAAATAGGCCTAAACAATATGATAATATCTTACTAAAAACACGATGTACATTCATTCCTCACATTTAAATAACACCAAATCCAATAATTTCATTGGTCTAGAGCACTTTGCATTATTCTAAAAGTTCTTTTCATAAGTTCTATACAGTCACGTTGTTGATTTTAATAGTTTGGTGGTAAACGAAAATCAAAATAATTAGATTGTAATTCTGAACAAACTTTAAACGTTTATTATTTGGTTAAATTTCATAAATACACTTACTAGTATACTTTATGTATATACAGAGACTTTAAGTAAAGATTGTATGGTTTTTAAAAATAGCCCAAGTGTGATATAAATTCAGGGGAGATTGGCCATACCTCTTCAGTCCTTTTCAATTTTGCTTACCTCATCAGATTGGAAAATTCAATGAAGGAAAATTACCAAAAAATTACCCGGATTTGGCTATACTTATTGTCCTTGTTTGGTTTTACCAGCTCTTCAACTTTTTAATAAGTTTTGAATTTTCAAAAAGTTTGGCCTCAAGCATCACTGAAGAGACATTACTTGTCGAAATGTTCATCTGGTGCAGTACAATTGGTACCGTTAATGTTATTACTCATAAACCTGAAAGAACGAATTGTTGTCGTTCCAATTTTGTTCTGTCGATTATCCGTATTTGGATAGACGTTGAAAAATATGAAACTGTGAATATAAGGATTTTTCACGTTTACCGTATTGTTAATGTTTTAATTTCTGACGTTTTCATAGCAACTTGATCAATGGTTCATTGTTAGCTGCCTATGAAACAAGACAAGATTGATACTAACTTGTTTTCAGTAGAAAATTCCATCTCTTATTGTGACGTTTCCATGCTGGGTGCATCTTCATCATGCATTCTGGTGTTACTAATAACTTCTTTGCATCGTTAAAATTATTTCTAGAAGAGTTGTTAAATAAGAATAGCTTTTTTTAAATTATGTCACATCGAAATAAAACTATATAGAAATTGTATAAACCTTTAAGTAAATTCATGAAATGGAATTTTTAAATTTGTATCCAAGAATCAAAGAAATTGATAAATTAATAAAAAAAATTGGTCTAAACAAACAATGACATCAGTTAGAATATAACAATCATTTATTTAAAAATTAAACCACCTGTTTCTAACATTACAAGCACCATGTAAAAATGCTTTAAACCAATTAATTGATAGAATGTATTCCTTTATTTGGGAAAAACAATCATGACAAAGTAAAATGAGAAATATTATGTCTTGAATATAAATTCGGAGGGCTGATAATGCTAGATATTGACAAATATATTAAAGAGTTGAAACTAAGTTGGATCCGACGGTTGTTAAAAGACAACCCAAAACTTAATACTAGTTAGCCATTATAATATACAGAAAAAAATCAATATTGAAAGCCTACTTTATTTAGGCCTAACAAACATATTATAAAATATTGAACAGAATTTCGATAAGAGAAGCTTGCACAATATGTCTTTTTACACTACAAATAGCTCAAAACTTCATCAATTGAGTTCCAATACAACTGAATCTTTGGCATTCTTCGATAAAGCAAAAGGATAAATGTACTTTCTGCAATGAAGCTTTTGAAGATAGTAAGCACATATTTTGAACATGCCATAAAATAGCAGATCTGTGGATAAAATTCGGTGACTGGATTCATAACCATATACACAAAATAATTTCGTTAAACATGGATATAATTTTATTTGAAAATTTAGGAAAAACAGGAAATAGTAAAAAATAAAAAAAATAAATACTACTTTTAATTTAATTTCTTTATTAAAAAACAAAACTATGTGAAAACCAATTAAATTTTACAGGACTCAAAAATCACTCAGAGAAAATCTAATATTAGAAAAGAATGTTTTTTTTTTAATTAAGCCCCCCACATGACCAATTTCTGCTGGGATCCCTAGATTCCATTCCTGCGAAAATTTTCACTAAAGAAACTTAACATTACCTTAGGTAGTATTACTGTGTATATTGTTTAACCTTATCCAAACCACCGTATATGTTATTTATATATTATATTGTTATAATGTTGTTTCTATTGTGTAATTGTTTTGTTCTTGTTTGTGCTCATAACCATTTTACAAAAGAAAAACATCCTTCCAAACTGTAGTAAATGCTATATCTAAATCATGTTTATCTATGAATATATATACTACCAAAAATCCAAATTTGTGTGTGTTTTGTTTTTCTGTTTTCTGTTATTTTTGTTATTTTTTTTTCTCTAAAATAAAGGTCTTTCTTTATTGCACAATACACTATAAACAAAGGATACATAATAATATAGTAATGTATATTTCAGAATTTTGATTAATGACATGTTACTAGTTTTATTTAATTATATACTACTAATGTTAAACGAGGCCGGGATAAAGTACCAAACTATAGATGGTGAAAAATTTAAAGTATGTTCAGATAGTACGATTTAAAGTCAGTTAAACAACTTCTCTCTGTCAAATGGGAAATAATTTACGAATGGCCGCCATTTTAATAAGGAGTATTAAATCAATTAAAGGTCATTTATCGCTATGTCAATGTTAGTTTTCGGATTCAGCAGACCGAAATTGTTAAATGGAGATTTGAGGGATAATTTACTCTGATTTGCTAGGGCAATTCCGATTTTCTTAATCGGTGACTGGACTATAAATAGGTAATGATATCATACTTTGCCTTTTCAGCGAATTTCTGTATTGTCTTTCCATTCTGTGTAAATGTTGTTTCGAAAGAATTTCCGTATAAAATACTTCCGAATGCTGAAAATCAAAAAAAAAAAAAAATGTGTTACAGTTGAAAATATGTCAGAAAAAGAGTAAAGCCAATGCATTATTTAATGAGCTTCGGACGCATGAAATTAATAACGTGTTGTTTTCATTTTCCCCCTTTTTGTGTTCTTTAAATTAATACGGGAAACGATGTGACTCGACCCATAATTAATATGATTCCGAAGTAACCGGGAAAAGAATGGTGAGATACAAAAACATTTTACACAAAACCACAAACCATGTTTCTTCTCAGAATTGAAAATATATCCATATTTAAATTAACTTGATAGAGTCGTCAGTTTCGGAGTACTGTTGTTTCCTAAACATACTAAAGGTAACATCTTTTAGGTATGTAATTTAGATGGGTATGAACACATACAAAACACAATCGGCACTTAAAACACAACTGAACACAACTTGTCAAAGAACCAGACATATGTTTTGTGACGCATTAGCGTATCTTGTTGATTTGTTTGATGAAATTCAAAGGGTTGGTATTGCACGTAATAACTAGCCCATGAACAGTATCATAAATCGATACCATTTAATCTTACATGTATTATTTGCTTTATTTTACAAATAATTTCAAGAATAAACCATAACAAATCAAACATCAAATAAAAGTTATACTCAAAGTTCAAATTAAGTTTAGATGCATCTGGAGTGTTAAACAATATTATGCAAATGACGAGGTGAACAGTAATGGGAAATTTCCTTGTTTTTACAGAGGGATTTACTCTAGCTATAAGACTTTCATGTGACACGTATCCTCATTATTAATAAAAGGGACATATATCTCTAAAACAATATATTAAAACTTCGCCAAATTGTATCGCCGATGCACGTAGCATGCAACGGTTTTATATATTTTTCATGTGCGCATTGATCATAAATTGTCCTTAAGGTTGTGTAGGAGTACAAACAAAATATGATAGAAATTTTTTCATAATTTATCAAAATACAGTATATATTGGGATATGTTAAAAAATATGATAAAATTATTAGGTCAAGGAGTATAGTTTCAAACTATAGATGGTGAAAAAACGACACATTTTGTATGAATTATACAGAGAAGAGACATCATAATGTGAACAGAAGAAAAACTAAATGATATTATTTTGAAATAGAATATCAAAAGATAGCTGTTATAAATAAACTCATCATAGATACCAGGATTGAGATTTTGTATTTGCGCCAGACGCGCGTTTCGTCTACAAAAGTAACGCACGAATTAAAAAAAGTTAAAAAAGCCAAATAAAGTACGAAGTTGAAGAGCAATGAGGACCAAAAATTCCTAAAAGTTTTGCCAAATACAGCTGAGGTAATGTATTCCTGAGGTAGAAAAGCCTTAGTAATTCAAAAATGTAATGTTTTGTAAACAGTTAATTTATAATTATGACCATATCAATAATAATTCATGTCAACACAGAAGTGCTGACTACTGAGCTGATGATACCCTCGGAGAATAAAAAATCCACCAGCAGTGGCATCGACCCAATGGTTGAAAATAAACTCATCATAGATACCAGGATTGAAATTTTGTATTTGCGCCAGACGCGCGTTTCGTAATATGCTTTTAGAATATTAGAAGAAACAATGGGATCACCGTACGTTTATTCCTGCTATAACATAGAATCGAAAAAATTCTTACAGGTTCCTTTATAAATTGCACTATTTCTGTCCAACTAATTTTTACAGTTTCTTGTTCTGTTGTGCTGTTACACCATTGTCCCAGGTTAGGGAAGGATTGTGCGCACACAAACGTTTTTAACCCTGCCATATTCTGTATATGCCTGTCCCTAGTCAGGAGCCTATGATTCAGTGGTGGTGTCGGTTGTTGTCTGTCATATTGTTCTTCGATTTTTATTTTGTCATAAATTTGGAGTAGGAACAATTTCTCCAATGATTGTTATACTCAGTGACAGAGTCAAATTAAGAAAGTTCTTGTTGTCTATTGGAATTTAATTTTCGGAAGTCTATGTTATATACTTAAAAAGATGCAACAGTTTTATATTTTTACCTACTGTCAATAATATTTTCAGTGCTAGATATATTTGTATTGCTTTTGAAGACAATGGTGCATATTTTTTATGTTTTGTATATAAAATTTTGCATATAAGGAAAACGTTAACCAAAATGAACAATTTTGTATCTTAAAAACAACATATAGTGTTACTTTATATAGAGGCTTGATTTTTCTATTAAATAGTAAAACAACAAAAGTACCGAACTCCAAGGAACATTCAAAACGGAAAGTCCCTTACCAATTGGCAAAATCAAAAGCTCAAACACATCAAACGAATGAAAAACAACTGTCACATTCCTGACTTGGTACAGGCATTTTCTTATGTAGAAAATGGTGGATTAAATCTGGTTTTAAAGCTAGCTAAACCTCTCACTTGTATGACAGTCGCATAAAATTTCATTATATTGACAACAATGTGTGAACAAAACAAACAGACATAATAGGTAAAAATGTCAAAAATAGGGGTACAGCAGTCAACATTGTGTTATAATCTCATTCACTATAAAAAGAAACAAATATGTCAACAAAGAAAAACAAAATGGCATATAGACAAAGCACATATGCAACATTGAAACACAAGAATAAAAAAAATGCCAACAGCACAACAGCACAATGGCGGGATGTACAAGTACCGAGCCACGTCTAAAGGATATTACCAAAAATGGACCAAACAGTAAACGTTAATAATTTACAAAGACAAATAAAAGAACACTATAACACTTAATTAAGATGATAAACAACGTCAGTACCTAGAATCTATACATCAAGACCATCATGTACTATTTGTGAAGTTGATACGGAATATTTATCAACAAGGTCTTCGTATCTTCTGATGATTTTTTTTTTGGAAAAAGGACGAGACGTTCTTTGACATAACCCTGGTTCATCAACTTTTTGCTCAGACACTTGTGACGTTTTACAAAGTCTGAGTAGCAGCTGCAAAGTGCTGTTATGAAGCATATTTAGGCCTTTATAAATTTGTTCATATGTTAAAAAATACGCCAAAAAAAGTTGAATCATCAATTTGTTTTTTGAAATTTTGTGTGCAATTTAAAGTCTTTGAAGTGCCTCTGAAAATCAAAGACATGTCATATATGTTACATTTACACTTCCTGTTATTCCATCAATTAAGGATGTTAATTGGATCGAGCATAAATGTATAGAGATTCCATCATTCATTGTGGTAGATAAGAGTGGCTCCTTTTTAAAACCGTCCATAAAACTGAGGACAGGGGTCTCTTGACGTATTTTCTAAAATAGTGTATATTGATGTTGTTTTTGTTTTTACTCTGTCACGTGCTGTAGTTTTAGTATATTATGTCAATCAATATTTGAAATGAATTGAATTAATTTAAAAGGAATTGTTTTCACTTTGAATTGCGATTTCTAAAATCTCATCCTATGAATTTTGTAAGAAATTATATGTATTTGATTTGAACATTTCTGTTTTATGATATGAGATATAAAGGTTTTGATTTTGCTCCACAGTCATTTCTTATTTCATGACAATAAAAATATAACGATTGCCGTTATATGTGTTGTGTATAAGTTGTAATTTTGTACAAATTCATTTTTTACAGGGTTTTTTTTGTGTGCAAGATATCAGTAATTTGTCACTTACCTTCTTTCACCAGACGATGTAAAAAACAACAACAAAAAGTGGTCAAGTGCATAATCTCTTAATCAAGTTTTTAGGCAGTGAAAAAATATTGTTACAAATGTAATGTAACCCAAGCGGATGATGAAAATGTGAATGAATGTCATGTAAGATCCCAGTGGGTGGAAAACATTGTTTTACTTTTGGACGATGATAATATTTTGATCTTGACTAACCTTGACTCTTAAGCTAGCGATAAATAAGCTCATAACATTTTGCATCACTGCAGACTAGTGTTATTATATAATCTTTGTATTAGTGCTGTGTATAGGACTGTAGCATGTAATCATGAAAATCTGACAATGAAAGGCAAATTTAAAGACAGTGTTCTTGTTTTATCAAATGATTAGCAGGTTCACAAATAGAGGCAACACTAGTATACCGGTGTTCAAAAGTCATAAATCGATTGAGATAAAACAAATCCGGGTTAGAAACCAAAACCGAGGGAAACACATCAACTATAAGAGGAAAACAAATGAACAACAGGAACACCGAAGTGCAACAAAAACAAACACCAACACACATATAAACGACTATTTGATAACAACTGCCATATTCCTGACTTGGTACAGGACATTTTGAAAAAATGGTGGGTTGAACCTGGTTTCATAGCATGCCAAACCTCCATGCTTTATGACAATGTTGAAAAATATCGCCAAAACACTACGTGACAAAAATACAGCACAAAATACTAGTAGCAAAATTTTGTATAAATTATAATTTGAACAACATTACAATTTGTACACAACATTCATTTGCTTTGATTTGTAAATCGATATAAACCTATATAGACTGAGATATTTAATCTGGTAGCCGACGTTGTTTATGATTTTTATCTGTTAATGTTTTCTCATTTTAATAGTTTAATAGATATAGAAGAAACGTAAATTTTAAATTTACCGTTTATTGCATAATCTCTTGTGACTGGTTCGACTTCAAATGTTCCAAATCCATTCACGGTATAATCTTTAACTGCGTTTGCTAATGTTTTTAGTGTAAGCTGCAATATTACTCAAGTTTGAAAATAAACAAGGCACTAATAAAAGAAAAAATAGGAAATGCATACTAATAACAGACAACATGGCATTTAAAAGACAACGTCCGGAGAAGCCATAAAACTTAATAAATGTTAAGTTAGTAGGCGGTTCATTTATATTTGTCTATTACTTTCTTTTGGTGAAAGCAAATAGAAAGATCACCTTTGAATATTTTTTAATTTTGCATAAGCTGCACATATATAAAATGAATCATGTCATTTAACATATCTTGGACATACTTGTATAATGAATGATCTCATGAA